TTTTACGGATAACACAGAGGTGGTGGCTTTTATTTAGCTGTAAAATCCACACGTTTTCTTTGAAAACTTGGCTCCTTGGGCGAAAATAACTTTTCCTGGTTGCTTTAAAATCGCTGTTTGTCGCAGAGGTAGTTTAGCATATTGTCTACACAACAAAGATTCCTGTTTTATTGGCAGTGAGGATTGTTGGATTTAGGTATAAATATTTCATAACTTTCTTGTCTCTACAATAAGATCGGTAGTTTTATTGGCTTTTTCTTTCTTTTTCTTTTTTTTTTCTTTTCTACCAGGATCGTTGTATTGTGGAGGTCCCTTTTTCCCTTTTCCGGATAGAATGTAACATTTTCCCCCCTTGGATATATCACTGCTGGAAATATGCTCTTGGGCTTTCTTGAGGGGGCTGGGGGGTGTCGGTAAGCGGTCGTTTTCCTTGATTTGCATAAGAGCTAGTGAAGTGTCTCTGAAGTTGGTGAATTGCTATTGTTTGGGGCTAGTCCTGACTGTTTTTGTTTATAAACACTGGGGTGGTTGCCGGGAGGGGAGGGAGGTCAGAGCACTGTCAAAGCGCTGACCTCTGAAAGCCCAGAGGGCGCCTGGCTCCTTCACCCTCTCCTTTCTCTCTCTCTCCCTCTCTCCCTTTTCCTTTCCCTTCCCATCCAAGGCCAGGAGCTCAGGTTCAGGGCGTTTAATCCCCGCGATCTGCCCAAGAAAGGAGCTGAAAAAGGGCTGTTCAGGCTCCGGAGGAAACGCCAGCACAGACTAAAACCTGGAAGGCTTTTATTTATAGTAAGGTCCGGGTGTGAGCCTTTGTGCAGCTCCAGCCAAAATAACAGGCACCACCACCACCAGAGCCAACCGGGCACTGCACTCTTTAGCACACCAAAATCTTGTGGGGGATGCCTGTCCTGTCTGGATACGATTTTTCCCGAGACGCACTTTCCATAGGAGGCTGCTAGGATTTAGGGAGAGGGAGGTGGGGAGCCTTTGGAGGCAATCTATGCTTGTTGTTTTATTTCTTTTTTTCCGGGCAGAACTGTAACTTTCCAGTAATCCGATTAGATTTTTCTATTTTTCTTTCCTTCTCCCGCCGTGTACTGGAATGCCTTGGGTTTGGGGGTTTGGAAATGAACCTGAGATGTATGCACATGATACCTGCGAAAAACCGAATTAATAATAAGCCACGAGCTTTTTTCTTTCTTTCTTTCTTTTTTTTTTTTTTGCTTCGGTGTCAGCTTCATCTCCACCAAAATGGTACAAGAGATCGCTATCAGGTTTAAGTCTGTTTTGAAAAGAAGTTGCTGAGTTAAACAAAAATGTTAGTTAACACACTGCCTTTGTCAAATAGCCCCCGGGAGGAGAAGAGACAACAAAAAAGGGAGAGGAGGTGGGGGCTGGGGATCTGAAAGTGTCTGTAGCTCAGATAAAGGGTCTCTAACACTGAAATCTTGTAATACCTCGTTTCAAACTGAGCTCATCTATAGACTTAGGGAACGCAGTCAAAAGACACGGATCCTCTTTCCCCTTGGGCTGGGGGCTGAGGTCGGGGCTGGGGGGGGGAGGGACATTTATTAGGGAATTATGTCGGTTTATTAAAAAGCGGAGCGGTTGTGGCTGTAATTATGTAGATCCTCCTGCCCTGCGTGTCCGCAGCCCGGATTTGGAGAGTGAAGAGACTCGCCTGGCCAGGAGACCCGGTGTAAAAGTCGATGTGGTGGGGGCCGGATTTCTTTGTTGCAGCCAGAAGGGTCAGCGCCGGGCTCTGGCCCCCGCCAGCCCTGCTCTCCCAGCCTCAGAAGTTTCCGTGGGAGCTGAGGCTGGAGCGGGGGCAGGACAGGTTTGGGATCGGGTGCTTTTTTTTTTTTTTTTTCTTTTCCCTTTCCCTGTTTGAAATGTAACGTCACTCTCAGAGCTTTTGTGGTTTCAACAGGAGGCTTTAAAAATCCCAAAATGTGTAACGGTGCCCGGAGGAGAAGTTGGAGGGGAGGGGAGGGGAGGGGGGGTCCGCAGAGACCAGAGGAGAGGAGCTGAGAGGTTAGGCAGGAGTCTTTGGGGGCGATCAGCTGAGTGAGTGCGAGAGGGAGGAGAGAGGGGAGTGAGGAAGCCTGGCAGCCCGGGCCGAGCCGCTGGGGAGCCCGCTGGAAGCAGCGGCCAGCCCCCGGGTCCTCCTCGCTGCTGCTCGCCTGCCTCCCCCAGCCAGCGCCGCGCTCCCCTCTTATCACATCCCACAAACCTGCTGCCGCTGCCTCTCGGAATTAACCTTCTTCGATTTTTCCTAGCTACGTGGCGATCCCCGGGTTTCTTCTAAACTGTTAACATCCCGTAGTGCCTTTTTTTCCCTGATAGCTACTATTTTTAGGGAGAGGGAGAGGGGGGAGAGAGAGAGAGGAGACATAAAACGTTAGGAAGGACAGTAAACAGTGGCAGAAGAAAGCCTGGAAATGTGGACTCTCCTCTCGCAATTCCTGCTTTCACTCCCCCCCCCCAACACACACCGCTTTGTTCCTTTAGCTGTAATTCAAGAACACTAGAAAAACCTCTATCCCCTGTAAGAAGAGATAAAGGAAAAATCTGCAACAACAGAAAAGAATGACTTGACTGATCTGACGTTTGGTGTTTTGACATTAATGACATTAATGATATTGATGTTTCACCAGGAAAAAAAAGCACTAGGAATAAAGGAGGGGGGGCAGGCTTTAAAACTAAATTATCTTCGTTTCCTTATTCTTCTCTGACATTAAGTATACGTGTGTCTTCACTTGAATGTGAAATAGATGTATTGTTCTCAGGTGTTTCTTCATCAGAGTGTATTTAATTGTCTCCAGTCTTAGGAATGTTTTACCGTCCTTCAGACATGCACTTGAATGGACAATGCATCTTTCTAGCTCAGTCCCGTTCCGTCTGCAGTTGAAGCCTGAAAGCCCTCTTTCCATCACCCCCCATCTGTTCCTAGAAATGGGTTTCAGAGATTTCATTTTCATTCTTTGTTTGCATCTTTCCTCTCGCCCCCCCACCCCATAAACAACGATGCAGAATGTCGCTGGTTTCCTTCACACCCTCACAGAAGCCTTGCTCTCTGTCATCTACATACATATACATACGCTTACATACATGGCTTCCTCCCCCCCCCCACAATTGATGAGTTGATGTAATGCTTAGGTGAGGTTTGCAAGGGAATAGAGTTACTCTCGAGAACCCAAAAGTGCCCCTGACTTCATTAAGTCCCAGTCTTGAAGCTTTCCCTGAAGTTTAAAGTGGGGTTTCTGTGGGTTTGAACAGTTTCCTTCCCTCCCCATTACTCTGACAGATTCCGCGGTTTGGGATAACTGTACTTCCAGACTGGAGAGGTGGGGTTTTTTGTTGTTGTTGTTGTTTTTTTATGACGACAAATTTCTCCTCTAAATGATCAGGACCTTCACTGTGACCTTAAACATCTGCTTTTAGCAGCTTGCTTCTCTGACACTGGCCTGTGCCTGTTCTGTCAGGGCAGTCCTAATTCATCATCAGGTGGGGATTTTCCTATTAGTGTTAGTTCCAGGATTTGCAAAATGCTCCCCTAGAATGCAAGGTTTAGAGGCCAGAGAGATGCATATTTATATCTTGGGGGGGGTTCATGGGGGGGGAGGATTGTGATAAGCCTTTCTGTTGGTATTTGGTGCTTAAGGCCTAAGACAAGGTTTTGACGTGTATCCCAGGAAACACGAACTTCAAAGGCATGTCAGCTCTAAGGTTATGGTTCACCTGCGCAGGGTCCTTGGCATTGTAAATATCCCTTGTATTTAACTCTTACTTAGTGATCTTTGCTGGTGCACCCATTTCTGGAATAGCATTATTAAAAATCTGCACGTGTTCCTACGGTGTGTTTGGATGCTCTTTGAATAGTCATGTTTTTATCTTCAGTGGGGGGCTTTTACAGTAGGACTGTGTCTAGTTTTAGTTAATTATATTTTAATGAAAGTGTCATTCATATTCGCATTTGCAGTATTAGGTGGAGATAATTAGATTTTCAAATTAGGAGCCAGCTCCTTAAATCCCATACAGGAAAATATTTGTGGTAGATCCCCACTTATCATGATATCTGGACGTTTCCCCCTATTTTTCATCATGGTACTTTTTTGCCAAGAAAGGAGGATGGGTGATAAAATAATGTAGATAAAATATTAATCAAATATCAATCTTTGTCGAGAAGGTGGGAGATGGCGGGTGTATGTACATAATACACCCAGAATATGCAAAGATATTCTTTCCCTAGGCTGGTACTTGCTTCATTTTGTTAACGCTCTTGACTCTTGATATTTTATAGTTCTTTTGCCTCTTCCTTTTTTTTTTTTTTTTTTTTTACTTTTGCTGATTTCTTCCACCAATTACACCCTAGATACGAGATCCTGAGTGTTTGCTTGATTGGTGTCTGCGGGAATGTGCACGTGTGTGTATACACACACACACGCATATATATATACACACACATACATATATAAAATGTATACATGCATATATGTGTGTGTACACACATATATATACACAGACATATATAAAATGTATATATGTATATATGTCTGTGTATCTATACACATACATATACGTGTGTACTTATATAATATATATACACACACATTACAATACGTATATAATGTAGTGTATATGTGCATGTGTATGTAAATAAATCCCCCCCTCTCTCTCAATAAGCAGATATTTCCGATCACATATACACGATCTTTCCCCCTTACGGGGACATTCCACCTTCATTATGCCATATTTCTCCCTAAATCGCTATCAAAAGAAGAGAATAGAAAAAAAAGGGGGGGGGG